TTAAACATTTCTTTCAATGTAAGTTGTTTCGTTTTATGTGATAATACTTTCTCTTTAATTCTATAAACAGACATAATTTCTTGTTCAGTTAAAAAGTTCCGCTGTTCAAGTCCTGTAATTGCTGTGCCGAGAATACCGACTAACTTGTCAATCGAAATTTTTTCGTTTTCACTAACCTCTCTGTCACCTTCTTCATGTCTTTATCCATTTTTTGCAGCAATTCCACTTTTTGTTTGACGGACATCGAGACATACTTTCGTTTTGTAGATCCTTTCGGAGCTCCAGAATCAGAAATTGACATAATCGAAAGTTCAAGTTTACTTTTATAAAATTGCTCTTACAGTCTGCAAAAGTAACAAGCTGCATCCAATTCGAAGATTAAGGAATAACGCAAGCATCAACATTAACGGAAATAGATAATTGTATAATTTTAGCTTATACTGTTCGTTATACGTTAAACGCACACGCGAAAACGTATTCTGCACTTGCGCACACGCATATGCGCGTGCGCGTAAAGTTCTTACGCGCACGCGTAAATGCCTATGCGCATGTGTCAACGCGGCACATGCGCAGAAAGTTTTTAGCTTTGAGGTCCGGATTATGGGTGTCCGAATTAACGACTTTTGACTGTATTCTCTTGTTGAGGTAAAATTCACATAAATCGACATGAATGACATTGACTCATCAAACTTTTGAAAACTAAACCGAAAGAGATTGTGAGTACAGTAGAAGTCCAGAAATCCGAAATGCTTGGGACCAGAGGTTGTGTGGATTTTAGGATTTTCCAGATTTCAGGACAGAAAAGATAAATTGTAATATTCAGACTAAAAGTGCAAAATAAATAAGGCATATAAGATACATTTAAACAAATTTTTATATACCTTATTACATTAATTTATTATATGCATTATTAATTTTTTTACATGTTTCATACATTTTTCTGATAGGGTTGTCTGAATCGTTTTCGTGCTGTAGCAAGTTCAAAGCAGAGCGAATGATTTCATCATCCATCATCTGATATGCCAGTGTTGGCTTATCTGAATACATCATCCATTCAATGATTTCTTCTTCTTGCAAAGCCTCCTCATTTATTCTTTCTTTCAAACATAAAAGCAATTCTCTTGCTTTAACACTTGCTGCACTGACACCATAACCAGAAAATTCACTGTCATCGTTCTCAGCTTCAATAAACAGAGAAGATGGCCGTGCATTATGCGAGGCATTTATTGATGTTGTTTAGAAACAGAATTCTATGATTCAGTTAACAAATAAATGCAATCTTTGATTGTAAATTTTTTTTAATAATCACAAAGTGAAATAAAATGGTCACTTGAAAGAAGTTTTTTCAGAAACTGTGATTTATAGTGGTATTTAATACTGTGTATTATATCCTGGTTCATTGGTTGAATCAATGATGTATTATTTGGAGGGAAAAAAAAGGCCACAACATTATTATATGTTAAAATGGTTGCTTCTGGATGTGTAGAGCAGTTGTGTAACAATAATAAAATCTTGCAATTTGGTGGTAACCCTGCACTGTACTTCTAGCCTCTTTAACGAAATGCTTCATGAACTATTCAGTTATTAAGTTGTTTCGTGAACTAGGGCTTTTTATTATTTTTATTATTCCTGTAAATGACAGGTAAGGATTTTACTCCTTTTAAAGCTCTGGGATTGGTACTTTTACTCAGTACCTCTGGTTTACATTTGTAAGTTCCAGCTGCATTGCTGCATGCTAAGTTATTAGCTTTTTCTTAGCTTCTTTCACCCCTGATGGTGCGCTTTCTTCGCTTGTTATAAATGTCTTTCTTGGCAAACATCACCAAAAAGCGTTCAGTTTCATTCATATTAAAAACCTGTACTAGGTTAAGATTTTCCTCTGCAGCATTTTTATCTGCTGAAAGTTTTCCCCCCACATGCTTTGAGATAACATATATCATGTCTCTGCTTAAATCTGTTCAGCCAACTGCTGCTGAAATCTCATGGCTCCTCTATTTTTTAATTACCATGAATCTGTTTTCTATTTTCTCTCAGGAGAGGTCCTGAAAGTGGTACCCCATCACTTTGCCGCTGCTGGAAACACTCATACAAGACGGCATCGATGTTTGCCGATTTTGTGTCATGCAAAGATTTCGGATTCTGATGTTAGAATCACTGCTGCTGTGAAATTTATCAACAGTTTTTCGTAATTTTTCTGTATATCATACAAGGTCCATGTCGCAATTCCATAAGATTCTGGTATGAACCAAGGAGTAGTACCTGCCTCTATCTTTTGCAAAATTTTCACTTTTTGCATTACCATCAATGCAGGCAGTAAAGTCGTAAATGCGTTTCTTTTCTGTCGTATTAAAAAGTGCTGAAATTAAAAATACAGTCAAAAGTCTTTAATCCGGACTCGTCAGGACTTTGGTGATTCCGGATTATCGATTTTTCCGGATTATAGATCATCAGTTTAAATCTGGTAAAATGGCATGCAGAAATTATGAAATTAAAAATATGAAACCGTAATTTATGAAATAAAGAGCAGTTATGATCTAAAGGGTATCAAAATTTACAAAGAAAAGCTTAATATTTATTTTTTGACTTTATTAAACATTTCTTTCAACACGCGCATGCGTAAAGCATACATTACGCATAGTCGAAATTAGAAAATTGCAACCAGAAAACTGTTTGATTTGTGATATTTATTCGTGATATTTATAATGACGAGGAATTTGATTTAAATCATATCAAAAACAGAGTACATTGAGATGAAATACTACATTATAAGCAGAATAAAATAAAAACTTCTGCCCTGAAGATAAGGATAGTGCTGACAGATCAGCTTCCAGTTCATAGTGCGCCTCAATGCCCCCCCCCCGCAGAGCAGCGTGAAATTGATAGACAGATTTCGGAATGGTTAGAGACAAACAAAGGGTATGCCTTTATCCATTTTTTGCAGAAATTCCACTTTTTGTTTGATGGACATCAAAATATGCGTTCGCTTTGTAAATCCTTTGGCAGCTCCAGAATCGGAAATTCTTTTTGACATAATCGAAAGTTCAAGCTTACTGTTATAAAATTGCTAACAGTCTGCAAAAAATAATAAGCTGGTTCCAATTCGAAGATTAAGGAACAACGCATTGCATTGCCGCATCCGCAGAAAGTTTGTAGCTTTGAAGTCTGGATTATAGATCATTCCGTTTTATGGGTGTCCGGATTAATGACTTTTGACTGTATTTAAAATTCATCTACAAAGTATCCGGATAAAAAAAAAGGCAGCATTAAACAATCTTGTGAAATAACAAAGCTCAGAAAATACAACGTGAATCATAGCAGCATTAAACAATCTTGTGAAATAACAAAGCTCAGAAAATAGAACGTGAATCATAAACATGAAAGTTGAGTGAATCGTCTGCTTTTTTACCTCAATGGAGATTAGAGAGGAAAAAATTTTTACCATGACGTCGATAATTTGGTATTTCCGTTATGACACATTATTATTTGCTAATTATGACGTTATTATTCAGTATTTCAGGTATTTTGAAAATGAAATACCAAAGAAAAATACTTCTTCATGTAGCTGTTACCAGAACCTATAAATTGAATATTTATATTTTGAGAGGCAACACAGATTTCAGGTTGGTGAATTTTCGGTATTTGACTGTATATATACAGAAGCTGTGCAAAAGGGGGGTTTTAAATTAGTCTGTGGAAAACTACATGCATTGTGGTTTCATTTTGCTAAAATTTATGAAAGCCGTAAGCAACTGGATGATGCAAGAATAATATTGTAAAAAACAGTCCATGTTCCTTATTCAGACCTTGATAATTTAGCTACTGTGGTGGTATGAATGGACAGAAATGGAAATTTGCCATAACAATCTTGAAAGGATACTGAATCTCATGCAAAGGGCTACTACTGTTCCTGTAAATAAGGGATCCTATCATGATCAGTTTTTGCCAATTCAAGAGCTCGATAAATCTTTGAAAATCTGGCTATTATGTACTGATTTTAGAAGTTTTAGGAACTTTGATGAGGCAGTTGATTTGAGAATTGCTACACGACAATTAATCATCAGTTATGGATTATTTCTAAAAGAGAATAAGTATTTTGAAGATGCTTTCAATGCTTATGAAAAAGGAAGCTCTTTCCTCAGATGGCCTAACGTTTATGATATTTGGTGACATTTTTGGAAGTAAGCTTGAAAGAACAAGAGATTGATTTGAATAATGTCTTGAATACTGCCCACACAAATATGCTAAGTTTATTTATTTACTTTATACAAAGCTAGAAGAAAAACATGGTTTAGCAAGGTCTACTAGAGCAGTATACGAAAAAGCAACAAAAGCAGTGCTACCTGAAGAACAATTTGAGATGTTCAATGTCTATTTGAAAAATGTTGCGGAGGTTTATGAAGTTACTTACACTCCTCATGTCTGTGAGCAAGCCATTGAAGTGCTGTCTGATAATGAAGCAAAAAAATGTGCTTAAATTTACTGATCTGGAAAGGAAATTAGGTGCAATTGTCTGAGCTCATGCAATTCATGCTTACTGCAGTCGGATGTGTGATCCAAGGACAAATCCAGATTTTTGGCAAATACAGAAAGAATTTTAAGTTTGACATTTTAAATGTGAGAATCAAAAGGAGTGTTCAAGCACCATTTAATACTGTGGTGAACTTTATGTCAGCACAAATATTGAGTGCTGCTGTATCTACATCTGTTGGTCTTACAGCTATTAGAAAAGCATGTACGCAATGTCTAGAAGTACAAGCTAAGATCTTGGCTATAGAAGCTGCTAGAGATCACCAGCTAATAGAGACAAAGCTGCATTTGTCAGAGGAGAAGTAACCGGTATTTTATATAGAAAATGAGAAGCTTGTAATTATCTTGTAACATTATTCATTTTAATATTTACTTATAATATTTTTGTAGCATTATTGATGCTTATGTTATTTTTACTGTAAATTAATGCTTACATTAGTTTTGTTAATATATATATATATTTATTTTTGCAGGTGGACTGTCTGCAAATCAAAAGCTAAAAGGACTAAAATACTGAAGAACTGGAGCTTGAAAAGATTGTTCAAAAGGAGCTTGCTGATCATCTTAAGTATAAAAAAATACATTAAGAAAATTAAAAGCTCTTAGTATTTTATGCTTGAGCTGTTTTACGAAATTTTAAGATAATTTAAACTATTTATTTAATATTTTTTAATCATAGTTTTTTTTAGCTATTACAAAATGTGTTTAAACTAACTCAAGTGAGCAATGTTATTTTAAAATTTTTTTGAAAAAAAGTGTTATTTTTCATCCAAATATTATTAAAATATGTATTTAGATTAACTTGGAGCTCAAAATATGCATGCATGCATACTTGCATAAAAAGTAAAAAATAAAACATGCCAGATGTAAGAAAATGTATTGTTCTTTTAAGGTCACTACAACTGTGTACTATACTATGCTTATGCTATATATATAAATTTATCTGGTATAACTTTAAAAAAAAAATATAGGCATAGAATTTTTTTCTTTTCTTCCAGAAATATTAGTTATCAGCAGAAGTAATACTAAATGCAGACAATTTTCATTAAACTTCATATTGTCAGGGTTCGTACGGTCCTTAAGAGTCTTTAAAAGTCCTTATATTTTTTGGGAATCAATTTTTGGTCCTTAAAAGTCCTTAATTTTGGTCAAATTCAGCAGAAGGTCCTTAATTTTAATCATATGAAATTTCCGTCTGTTTTGAGTGTGAATTAACATTTTGGTGGAATATTTGTGGCAATTCACTGACATATATGGTTATCTTTTGAATGGGTTCATGGGTTATAATTTGTTTCTATTTCTAATAATAAATGATGGGATACTAGAGTTTCTAAGCAAGAAGTGAAATATATGCATTTCGAAATTCATTTTTTCTACTAAAGAGCTCTTAAACAAATTTCGCTTTTGGAGATGTGAATTCTTTTATTAAATGGTTCTAAACTTGGTGACTTATCAACATTTTGGCAATTTTAAGATAGTTTCTATAGAAAATTTTTAATTCCAAGATCTGAGAATTTTTCGGCTAATTTTTTTAAAACATCGTAACATTCATAAATTTCATTAAAATAATGGTAATGTATTTAAATTATATTTAAAAAATAACATTAAAATAAAACATTTTCATTTTTTGCTGTCATATTGTAAAATTTCATTTTAGCAACTTATTACACAATATTTTGAATCTGAAAAATAAACAAGGTATAGTGTTGTAAAGCATAAATTAAGGAACAGCTCTTAGCAAAAGCAAAATTAGCTATATGATTAATTACAAAGGTCTTTTTAATTTTTTCATAAGAATTTTCCCCATCTAATTGTCTCAGAATATTCAATTAAAATTACCGCTAAAAATTTTTTGAATGTTGTTGTGACAAAACATAAATTTTTTTGTAGCTTTTAAATGTGTAATTATCCTAATATCATTTAAGAATCAATGTCATAAATTACATGTATTTTAAACTGTGAAATTTTATTAGATTTTGATTTTAGTAGGGCTTTTTTAACAAATATTGTTAAAAAATAAAATTAAATAGTGGCCATGTAAATCCGCAATGACTAAGATTATCAAACTACATAATTTAATTATTTATAACTAACTGCTTACCCTTAAAAATTATGTCTACATATTAAAGCGAGTTATTGCCTTTCATAAATACTCACTATGATAACACACAAACACAAAAGATACAAACACAAAACACACACACACACACACACAACACAAAAAAAAAAAAAAAAAAAAAAGGATAACACACAAAAATGTAAAAATTCAAGTAAAACTTATCTTTTCATGTAGTGAGACTTAAAATAACTGGATTACAACCCCTTTCATGTAGTGAGACTTAAAATAACTGGATTACAACCCCTGGAATTCTACAAGAAGCTACGACACTAACTGTATCAAATAGAGCCTGACTAACTTACCAACCGTGCGTACATCAGGCTTTTCAGGTTTGTTCTAATCAGCAGGACAAGCAGCAGCAGTGATGACAACATTCAGTCTTTTGGTTATGAATGAGGCATAATCATGCTGATTATGATCTTATTATGCATTTAATAGTCGCAGCAAGGATAAATGGGCTTGATGTCCCTCCAAAGGGCATGTGAGTCATTCATAAAATTTTGTAAGTTTTTGAATCACTTTCATCTGGAAACCAGAAAAATCGTAAATGGTCTCTATCTTCTTCCGCTATTTCTATGGTCAAAAATGCTCCCTGAATATCACAGCTGAATGCGAAATCGCAAGATTACATCCAAAATTCTGGAATTCAATGGTGGCCCAGGATTCAAGCACCTTTTGACGATGCATCGAAAACCAATCTGACTTTCGTTGTGTCCCTATCTGATCTTACTACAGCTGAATTAGGCATATAATAAGAATTCTCTTCTAAGCTGGAAGTACATTCTTCAACGATATTCAGTTTTGATTGCTCCTTAATTATATTCTTATATCATTATAAACTCAATCGTTTTCTTTCATTTTTACACTTAAGTTACGAAATCTTTGTTTTGCTACTGCAAAGTTGTTAGACAAGTTTTCTGGTTTACCGTCCCAGAATAATTTAGTTGTATACATTCCATTTTCATATTTTAAATTACTTTCGAATTGAGAAATAAATTCCTCATTAAATTTGAAATCTCCTGTGTGAGTATAATTTATCCCCATTGAATCTAACTGCCAAAATTGCATTAGTTTTTCATTTAATGCAGTGCAACATTCAATCATTTAACAACATCAATAGAAATATCCCAATTTGCATTTAAATCTGATGTAGGGATTCGACCTTGAACAAACCTCCCAAACAGAATATCAATCAAATACAAAGATTTGTTTAATCACCCCTTTTCTCCCATATGAATATCCCAAAAATACTGTGCTCCAAAAAGCAGAGACAATTCATTTCCTGACGATTTACTTAAGTTTGACAATTGAATGTTCTTCCTTGAAAGTATTTGCATTAATTTATTATGAGATACTTTAAACTGTGAACCAGAAATACAATCAGTCAAAAGTGCTTCAATTGTTATTTTCTTGTCCGAATTATATAAATTACAAAGTGTAAACTGAACTACGTCCTACGGTTTCTGTATTGGCACTCTAGAGCCGAAAGTGTAAACAGCTAGACTTTATTGTCTAGTTATGGGTAGTTTCATTTCTACAGCTAATTCTTTTTTCAAAAAACATCTCTGTGACGCATTATCTAACAAAATATTAATTTCTTTACTTTATTACTGCCTATTAATACTGCTGAGCAAGTTTCAAGTAGTATGTTGCAATCATCTGATTCATTCACACATGCTAGGGAAGACACAACATTTAATTTATTCGGGTCGACCATGTGACAAGATTCCTGAGGGAGGGGGGAAAAGAAGAATAAACATAATTTGATCGCAAATCAATTCATGACTCATCAAATGTTTACAACTGCCACAAATAGTTTTTGTTTTACACTGCTTATATATATATATCCCTTAGAAAGACAGGAATAACATATACCATTTTTTCTAAGGATTAATTTTCTCTGTTCTACTGATAAGGGACAAGAGGTAGAATTATGATCTATTTTCGGTTTTGTACAAAATATACTTTTTTTCACATCAACAATAAATGCAGAAGTAGTAGGAATGTTCGAATTTAATTTACTTTTCCTGCTGTAATCAACTTTGCTTTTATTAAATCTCCCATGCTTTTGATTAGGTTTTTGTAAAGGATTAAATTTAGTTTCCAATCGCAAACCTGTAGTGTTTAAATTAAAGTCTCTACTTAATTACTCGTTACGTTCACAACACTGAATTTCATTCTTTAAAAATTCCAATAAATCAGTTATTTTGTTTTCATCTTCCTAATGTGTTTTACGAGAAAATTCTAAGGACAAATCTTTGAGTATAGATTTTAACAACACGGTATACAATAGACAACTGTAACTATTAGGATTAATTCCATTATTTTCTAATCCTGGAATATGTGTTTCGCATTCTGAATAAAGTCTACGCAACGCTACAATGTCATATGATTTTCGTATTGGACTTAAGTTTAAAAGTCTTGCCATATGCGTATCTATAATAATATCTTTTCGACCAAAGTGTTCTTTTAATATGTTCAAGGCAATTTCATAGTTTTCAGAATTGAATGCTAAACCACATAGAGCTACCTCAGCTTCATCTGTTAAGTACGATTTTAAATAACTAAACTTTTCTACATTACTAAGATTCACATTTTTATGGATAGCTACTTCAAACTGAGAATAAAATTTGTTAAACCTTAATATAATATATTGCCATCGTATTGAGGTATCTGCAAGCAAGGAAGTTTTACTGTATTCTGCTGCCCACTTCTGGTTTCTACAACATTCCTTCTTTCAGTTTCGCGAACAACTTTGCTTTCTTTCGTTTTCAGGATTCTATTTGTGTGAATTTTCCAAGTAATGATGTTATCTTTATATTCTTGCTGTTTTCCAATTTCCTTTTATATTTCTTCCGTTTTGCGCAGTTTTAGAATTTCCTCATTACGATACTTTAAATTAGCTTCCTTATCTAAAAGTTCATGAATTAAATCAACTGATCTTTCCTGTTTGTTTATTTCAGTTTCTAACAATTTCATAGTGTCAGTTGCCATGCGTCTGACAGGTGCTCTAATCTTTTTTAAAGCTTCAATATCCATCATAACAATTTAAATTATTCAATTCACTAAATAATTTTTTCAGTATTCAATTCGCAATTTACTTTATCTAAAGGTCTTTTCCAGATTTTCGGCACCGAAAGATTTTGTAAATACGCATATGCATTTTTTGTCGCGTTTGCTAAATAATTCTAAAACTCAATATTCAAATCAAATAACAATAAAAAAATTTCGCTTAGACGAGCATTGAATTTCACAGCCTGTCATTTTATCTAATTTTTATTGACGACGCAATTAAATACATTTACAATAAAGAAACACATATAAACTTATTTCGCAATTCTCAACTTAATGTAAATTAGTTCTACATCTCTTGCAGTCAGCAATGTACTGAACTACTCAAAGGAATTCAGACATACACAGCGCCATCTGGTTCAAATACAGTTTCGACACCATGAAACTTTGTAACTGAACAAGAAATTATGTCTGGCTACAGAATTAAAGATAAGGTCTTAGCACAGAAACAAAGCAACTTAATTGAAAGAAATGTTCAATAAAGTAAACAAATAAATATTAAGCCTTTCTTTTTTTGTAAATTTTGATACCCTTTAGAGAGTAAATGCTTCATTATTTCATATTTTTAATTTTATAATTTCTACATGCTATCTTACTAAATTTAAACTGATGATCTAATACAGTCAAAAGTCATTAATCTGGACTCGTCAGGACTTCGGCGATTCCGGATTATCGATTTTTCTGGATTATAGATCATCAATTTAAATCTGGTAAGATGGCATGCAGAAATTATAAAATTAAAAATATGAAACCGTAATTTATGAAATAAAGAACAATTATGATCTAAAGGGTATCAAAATTTACAAAAAAAAAAAAAAAAAGAGCTTAATATTTATTTGTTTACTTTATTAAACATTTATTTCAATGTAAGTCGTTTAAGTTGCTTCGTTTTATGTGATAATACTTCTCTTTAATTCTATAAACAAACATAATTTCTTGTTCGATTACACAGTTCCGCTGTTCAAGTCCTATAACTGCTGTGTCGAGAATACCGACTAATTTGTCAATCGAAATTTTTTCGCTTTCAATAACCTCTGTGTCACTTTCTTCACTATCGGAAGCGAATTACAGAGTTGCCAACTCTTCCGATTTAGGCGGGAGACTCCCGATTTTCGACAGCTCTCCCGCCAACCCGATTTACAATATATTTCTCCTGACTTTTTCTTATTCTTAAAATTTCTCGCGATTTTTATGGAACTTGGCTTAATACTTCGTTATAAAAAAAATAAATAAATAAAGTGATTTTGGACGTCTGAAAGCAATTGAATTTTCTCTAGATTATATCTAAAACAAAACCTTGTGAATCAGATGAGAACTTCTGTTTTGTGAGTGAAAGCATATACGTATCAAGAAACGTCGTTCTCCAATGCGCATCGAGCTCCACTGCGTGTCATCTGGTATATATTAGCCAATGAGCACAAAGCAAGCTTAAGGCTGTTATTTAGATGTTCTTTAGTTATTTCATTCATCTTGTCCTGAGTTGTGTGAGTACACGTGCCTTCGGGAAATAGTTTTAGAAATTATCATCTTTTGTTATGTTTGCGAGAAAGGTGAAATACTCATGTACGTTTCAAAAATCGTACACATTTGACTTTCCTTCCATTACTTCCTCAAGGAAATGTAATAAATTTGCGGTCACGTAGTGTACCGTCTGTCATTGCGATTTTTCGATTTCGTATGGGGGAAGGGCGGGTGTTCTCAAACATGTGTGTACACAAAAACACAAGGACAACATAAATTGTTTTGTAAAAAACGAAAAATTAAATTTTTCTTCGGAAACAAAGGACTAAAAAGTTATTAATGTACAATGTCTGTTCTCTGCTTTTTTACTGGAGCACAACCTGCCACTGAATGCATTAGATCACGCTGCAGCTTTATTTAGAAAAATGTTTCCCGATGGTGAAATCGCTAAGAAATACTCAAGTGCAAGGACCAAAACAGGTGCAATTGTTAAAGAAATGGATTTGAAAAATAAATCTTCAGTTATTGATTGCATTAAAACAGCTCCGTTCTGCCTCTCTACGGATGGAAGCAATAATACCGATTCAAAACTGTATCCAATTGTTGTTTCTTTTTTTAATCCAGAGTCTTCAGAAATTGAGTGCAGTCTTGGTGCCGATAATGCACCAGTATTGGTATTCTTGAAGACTGCTGTTGCAGGCATCTTCAGAAAGGAAAATTCAGATTTGCAGATTATGATGTGCACCTGTCACCTCTTAAATTTAGCTGCTGAAAAAGGAGTAGCTTCTTTACCAGTAAATGTGGATAAACACATTGTTGATATTTATTATTATCTTGAAAGGATTTCTAAAAGGAAGGAAAAATTGAAACAGTTCCAACAGCTGCATAATACTGAAATGAGAAAATTTTGAAAACGTGTGTACATGCTGGCTGTCTTTAAGAAATGCTTATCTAGAATCCTCGATCAATAGAACCCACTTCTTGCATTTTTTAAAAAGAAGAAGTAAATGCTTCGAGATTTAAAATAAAAGGCTCTATTTAAAGTTATAAAATACCTAAAGTAAATGGAGATGTAGTTACTGCTTCGATTGTTAAAAATAGGTTTGAGAAAAATAAAGTAATTTCTCCACCATTCACCAATTCAACTGGATGTTCTCAAAATAATACCGCAAAATATAAGCGTAAAGCTGATACAAATTTTTCTCAAAATAAAAAAATTGCTCAACACACGAAACATTTTCCGATTACTGTATGTTTATCTTGTGAAGAACGAATATTTATGTTTTTTTTCTTCGGACCTTAACAAAGCATTTTGCTTTTTTTTTTACAATTCATTTTGCCATCATTCGATGTTCTTAACACAGTTCTACAAAGCAGAATTCCATTAATTCATGTTTTGCAATCAATGTTTTATGATCTGTTTTAAAGACATTTTATCAAAGTTTGTAAAACCAGTCTGTGTTTTGCCTTGTAATTGCCATCGAGATGAAATACTACATTTAGTAAGGAATTATAAGCCAAATAAAATAAAAATATCTGCCCTGAAGATAAGGATAGTGCTGACAGATCAATCCAATTCATTGCGCGCCGCGACGTTTCCTTCCCCCCCCCAGAGCAGCGTGAAATTGATAAACAGATTTCGGAATGGTGAGAGAAACAAAAAATATGCCTTTATCCATTTTTTGCAGCAATTCCACTTTTTGTTTGATGGACTTCGAAACATACTTTCGTTTTGTAGATCCTTTGGCAGCTCCATGAATTGGAAATTCTATTTTGATATAATCGGAAGTTCAAGCTTACTTTTATAAAATTGCTCTAACAGTCTACAAAAAATAATAATCTGGATCCAATTCGAAGATTAAGGAAAAATGCAATCTGCAACATTAATTGAAATAGATAATTAGATAATTTTATCTTAGCTTATACCGTCCGTTATACACTAAACACACATGTGTAAACGTATTATGTGCATGCACACACACATATGCACATGCGTAAAAGTATTATACGCATGCGTTAACACATTATGCGTTGATGCATGCGCAGAAAGTTTGTAGTATTGAGGTCCGGATTAACGACTTTTGACTGTATATACAGAATTTGGCTATTTCTGATGTAATTGTTTGCTATAACCAGAAAAGTGTTTATCAGGTACTTTGACATTAATCTATGCTTTAAATAAATAATGCATACATTAGTAAGGAACACTTTTAGTTAGGGTACTAAAATTAATTGCATAATTCTATATTAATTCTGTTAGATTTAATAATATGTACACAACTTCTGAACAACCTTGATTACCATCTCTAATTTGTTTGTATGATTTAACAAATTAAAAAAGACAAGGAAATTGAACATTGGTTTTACGTGCAGATTGATTTCTCAAGTTAACAGTAAAAACTGAATTCATCCAAACATTATTTTTGCATTTTAGTTAAGAAAAGTATCCCCAAAATACTTTTTGTAATTTTCTCTGCAGGAACAAAATTAATGTTGTGTCAAAATAGTTCTCTTGTAAGGAAGTGAAATTTTAATTTGTTTAGTAATTGAGAATTTTATGTTTATGTATACTTATTGTGTATCTTACATTTATAGACTTGATGATTGCAAAATTTAAGAACATGAGGTGTCAGTATCGGAGGAAGAAGAAAAGAATGTTCACTTTTAAAAGTGGCATTGGAGGACAGGGATTCGTTCCAAAGTGGGAGCATTTCCATCAACTGTCTTTATTAACTGAAATAAATTTGGTAATTTAAATATTCTAGCTTTTATTAACTAGCTTTTTTTAAAATTATGTAACTGTAGTAATTGATTGTAAAATAAATTGATTTACTTTTTTAAAAAAATCATTTATTTTTAATTAAAAACTTAAATAGATTATTAAATGTTCGAAAAGGTATTCACCATTACTGTAAAAACTGTTTGCTAGGGTTTCAGCAAAAATGCAGTTTAGAAACCCACATAAAATTGTGCGAAAGCAAAGAACTTCAGAAAGTAAGCATTCCAAAGAATTTAGTAGTTAAATTCACTGACTTGTCTAAACAATTGTGTCATCCATTCTGTATTTTTTGCTGATTTCGAGTCTCTCACTAGAAAAGTTTCTTCATCTTTTCCATCTGAGTTTCAAAGTTTTTCAGTAGGAGTAGATCACCAAACTTTCTAAAAACTTTGAAATATCTATCATATAAGTTGTTACAAAAAAGGAAAAAATTCTACCAATGGAAAGTTCTAAAACTTATGACAGAAACAGTTGTCATATATGTCAAAAGCAATTTTTACCCAATGAGATGTGAGTCCGCAATCACTGCCATTGGAGTGACAGACATATACACAGATTAGCACATCAATCTTGTAATCTAAATTATAGATGCATATATTTTATTCCAGTTGTAATACATAATAGTGTGTAATTATGATTCAAATTTAATTTTACAAAATATGCCGAAAGATCTTTTCAAATACATTAATGTCACACTGGTAAATTTAGAAAAAATTACCATGTTTACTCTAGATGAAATCAAATTTTGGATTCTTGTCAGTTTTTAGACACTTTATTAGATACCTTAGTTGAGAACTTAAGTCCAAACACAAGTTCGACATTTTCAACAGTTTTTTCAAAGGTGAAGCAAACAGTTTTAACTGTTGAGGAAAGGAATATTTCCATACAGTTATCTGGATTCAGAAGCAGTTTTAAAAGAAACTGCTTACCAGAGAAAAGTTCTTATTTTTAGTGATTTGACAAATAGTCATATATCAGATGATGAGTATGAAAATGCCTAACTTGTGTATAAAACGTTTCACTGTCAAACACTGGGAGATTACTTAGAACTTTATCAAAATGTTGATACCCTTCTACTAGCCGAAATACTTTCAGCCTTTCGTGAAATGTCTGTGACATATTAAAATTTGGATCCCGTCCATTTCATGACAGGAATCTCACACGGAATGCAGGATTACAATGTACAAAAATAGAATTGCAACTATTCAACAATGCGAACGATTATATGTTGATAGAATCATAAATGCGAGGGGGAGTATGTGGCAAGTGACATGAGTAGTATTGGCCCCACTGCGGTGGCGGAAGTGACTCCCGAGGTCACGTGTCCGTAAGTGCCACCATTTCGTTGAGTGGAGTTGCATTGTTTTGAAGTGGACATGGAAGTGTTTGTTTTGAAAGTGGAAGCAGAAGTGCATGGAGATTTTAGGACTTAGGTATTTTGGGTGGCTACGAGAATTTTTTGCAAAGTTACGTGGCAACAATAATATTTTTCAAAGTTTTATTTTGTGGCAATGATCTTTTAAACCACGTGTTTCGAAGGAGATTTTATTATTTTTAATCATTTCTTCTATTTAGTACGCTATTTTTTAATTCTTTGCTCTTTTAATTATTTTTAATTATCTAATTATTTAATACATTATTACTTTTAACACTAGAATGGCAGGAAAATCTTACCTACTGGAACAGTGGTAAGTGATCATTTTGACCCTTTGATGAATATACTGAAATAACAATGGTAAAACAATTTTAAATGCCATACATTGGCACAAATATGTACTTTATATGTATTTCATAATTTATATTTAATATCACATGACAATTTATTACTTTTAAAAATACTGTAAATGTATCGAGTACATGGTGATCAATTGGGTCATACTACAGTTACTCAAATAACTCATTAATTTGATATAAGAATTGATTTCAAATAAATGGTTTCACAAATTAAAACTAATGTTAACTAAAATAAAACACAATTTATATAATAATATTTTTTTTATGTACTTACTCAGAGAATTATTCACTCTAAACCCAGAAGTGAGAAATGTTCTCTGATGTTTCAGTTATATCATTATATGTGTAGCTGAATGGAATATGTAAAGCATTTTGTTTCAGTTCTGTTTAATGTTTAAAATATTAGAGATTACACATTCGTATTAAGAATTAATGCAGTTGATACAAGAATAATTTTTAACAATTTTTCCAGTGCATTTTCTGCACACAACATGATGCACAATGTTCTTGAGATTTGTTTCTATTGCATCTCTGTACTTGACACTTTTTTCTCAATATATCCATTTTCTTTTCATGTGTTTTTTCTGAAGACTCGGAAGGATCTTTGGGAGTTTTGAAGCCATATGTACCACTCTTAACTCCTCTCCTAATTTCGGTAAATCTCTCCTGTTAATGGTGTTTCCTTTTACGCTTTTATAAATTATCCAGGCGTTCAAATCTGTGTGATCCAAAATATTGAAAAAGATAATGTACAGGCCATCGTCTAGAAGCCGATTTAAGTGAATATTTTCGACAAATCTGATCACGAATATCTACACCGCACTTTGTTGCATTGTAAAATGCTATTGAATCGGGCAACATCTTGAGACTGTCTTCAGTTTTCACGGTAGAATGTAATGAGCTCAGTAGAAAAACGCTTTTGCTTCTTTTGCCTTGATAGATGGTAAGTGTGATATCATCATGTTCCACTATTGTCGATGAATAAAGATTACTACACATATTTTTTAAAGATTTAGGAATTTCTCTTCTGTTCTTTTTCATTGTCCTGACCATAGTTGTATTTTCTGATTTTAGCATTTCTGCTAATTTAATGCTAGTAAAATAGTTATCCATGGGGATATTCCTCTCTTTGTTTATATGTGGCTCTGTTAATTTTATGACAACATTTTCAGACAAACGTAATGGGGATCTTTTCCTAGATAAGGAAATCCATTCAAGAGGTATTTAGTATCAACGTCGACAGATAACCAAAATTTTATTCCAAATTTTTCAGGTTTATTAGGCATATATTGTGTAAATCTACACCTAGCTTTCGATGGGAATAATTGTTCATCAACTGTAATATTTTGTCCTGGCCTGTAGCACGTTTTGCAGTTTTCAATAAATTTGTTCCACATGTCTGATGCAAGAGCAAATTTATCAATCTGTAATCGAGTAGATATTGTTGTCTTTTCATCGAACCTTAAAAATTGTATTTATCTCTTGATATAGTTTCTTTGCAAAATGGTATTCCCATAAGGAATATAAATCTAAGCCCTTTGCTCCTATTACTCCTCGAACATACAGTATAGCGACAAAAGCATCTAACTCAGCCAGAGATAACTTCCAGTCTTTATTTCCAAGTTGCGGATGAGCTTTGGATTCTGTACATTTATTTATATGCAGCAAGATATCATCATTAATAAAATGCTTGAAAGAAACTTTGTCCTCAGAAACATGACTCTTTGCAAAAGATGTTGGACCTTCTGTTTCTTTTAGAACATAAACAGGAACACGGCCACAGACTGAATTTTTGGAATTTATTTCATTCCATATAGTGTTATCAGGAGCTATAAAAACAGTTTTGCAAATACCCTGATCCGTTTTTGCCTGTTTATTTCTGCTGAGTTCTTCATTTACTTCGCTATCCTCAGATTCACTAATACCGTATTTGATGGCGTATAAGACGCACTTTTTTTCCTAAATTTGGTCTCAAAAAAGTTACCTGCGTCTTATACGTAAAGGATACAGTCTTATATGTGAAGGTAATTGCATTCAATAATTGTTTATTTAGCTTTTACGAAACGTGAGAACTTGCTATTGAAACTTGCTAAAGAAACCATGCTATTGAAACTTTTTTCCTTGTGTGTGGCTGTCTAAATGAGGGTGCGTCTTATATGCCGTCAAATACGGTAGTTTGTGTCTGGAATTCATCTTCAGTTTCTACAGAAAAATTATCAATTTCACCTCTGTCAGACTCATTTTCAGGTAGCTCCTGCAACAATTTTTTAATTTCTTCATCCGTAAGACTTCTTTTCTGCTTATTAGACATATTTTGTCAAAGTTGAAAAAGTGGAAAAATATCAAACTATCAGAAAACGATAGGGAATATATTGTAGCATATGATTCTCACAGCGTAAAGGAAAGGGGATAATAAACTTGATGGCAGAATTCATATGTACTAAAATACTGATTTGGGATTACCAAGAAAACATCTATCCTAACTGTTATCATCTGAACTAACAAATGGGAGAATACTTCTGTAAAATAAACTATTTCTGAAACGAAATATAAGCATGAAAAACCCTGCATCTACCTTCCTTGCAGTATTTTCTTCAAACGAATAAATAAATGCAAACAAACGAACAACTTATGTAGACATTACAAAGTAGTGAGGCCATGCAGGTTTTTATCCCTCTGGGAGATAGTTTGAATGCAGTCAAAAAATCCTTATCAGTGAATGTTTTTCATGAGTTATTTGACAATGCCTCGAGCAGAAACAGGAATAAAAGTAAAGGGGTCAAAATGACCCCCGTCCACCGTTCTAGGAATACATGCCAATATTTCAAAAACTAACAAACCTAGAATGCTGAAATTTTTTTTTACAAATATTTGTTATCTATTTAGGAAAAGTCAAAAATTTCCAAACGATTTCTTCCAATAAAACAAAAGAAATCAACGGTCAAAAGTGCTCAGGGGTCAAAATGACCCATACTGCCGTTCTAGTCTTAATTATTTAATCTGCCATTATTTTTAGTTGATTTTATTATTTAACATAGTAATTTTTAATGAAACAGAATTGCATGGGTTTTGAAAAGCTAGGATTGAACTCGCTATCTCTGGCATGGGAGATCTGAGCATTAACCCAAAGCCATTCCTTTGTCCCTTCCAATTTCTTTTATCACCTGGTCTACCCTCCAAATCATTTGACCTTGTCCAGCGAAACCCATTGAGATGTCACTAGGCTGGATGATTGCGTGTGTCTGTCTGGACAAGAAAATCACTTCACACCTGTCAATGGCGAAAGAACGCATTTATAAAGACTAATCACGATTTTGCTAAGAATATGTTTTT